GCATATAATTTTCTCCAAGTCAGAACCTGTATAATAAGGAACTCTCTCAAAGTAATCCCAGCACTTTTCAACTCTGCCAACTCTTTTAGAATTTTACGTACTAATACCACTACAATGATTTACTATATATATTGTAAACAATTTTTGGAAGTCCACGTTCAAATACTGAGTAGTATTTTATAGGATGGATATTAGTGTCCTGATAGACTTTTCATAGCCAGGAAATCTATATTTTACCTATGCTGAAGGTAATAGTCTGCCTTCATCACCCACTGGAATCATTAATTTTTAATGTCTCCACTGAGGTATCATATGCCTTCAAAACAAGAATAAATATACTTTCAAAGAAACATAGAAGAGTTCATTTACAAGATGTTTTATACTTTTGCACTTGGAGGAGTCTGTGGAAATGGTTAGCCTTATATCACAGAAAGCTGCATTCTCCTTCACTATGACTAGCTTTGATGAATGCTAAATATATTCCATCATTTATGATGATAGTAGGACCACAGACCCAGTGACACTTGATTCTAACTATTATTTTCCCATTATATGGTGATTTAATGAGCAGAACTGCAACAATGTACACATTTCTCTTGGCTTACTTCCTTTTTGGTAAAACTGTAATAGGATATGGCAGTTCATGGCTTTCTGCCTCTGGATGGCAGTAACTCCTGCTTAAATGTTCACAACCCTTAACTGTAATATCCTGAAGTAAGGATTTCCCATTCTTTGTCAGTTTTCTATCCAAAGAAAACACTAATTTTACTTAGTCTGAAATATATATATATATGTATATATATATATTTATATACATGCATACGTATATATCTTAAATGTATACACACACACACACACATATATGTATATACATACATACATTTGAAAACTAAGTATAAGTGAGGAATCTGTTTAATGTTAAAAATTGATAGCATAAATCCTAGGTTAAAAGGAAAATGAGGACGCAAAGAGCTAACCTAAAAAAAATTGGCATTTGGATATTTCCATATGTTTATATGTGATTCATTTTCTTTCTTACATAAATTAACAAATGCTGCTGAGCCAACCATATTTCTTACCTCGAGACAACGAGGCATTGCAACGGCTCTAGGAATATATCCAGGCTTTGGGAATAAGCATGTCTACCACTAAAATTATGTGCTCTGATTAATATAGTCCATCTGGATTTTCTGACTGTGACTTTTCATAGACACAAAGAATTAAAGAGCTTAAACATTAAATAAAATGAAATGCACACATGTTAAATGTAGTTCACTAAACTCTCCATGCAGTGGCTACTGGAGTGCCATAAACTAACATCTGGGTTGGGCTGTGGGTTCTAATTTATTGTCTGTAATATTTTTTTCTGGTCCTCCTTGTACTTGTCCTTTTAAACCTGCTATTTCTTTCCTTTGAGTCCCTGGTTCTCCAGCTCAGCCCTTGCACTGCCCTTGCACACCCTTGCACTGCCCAGCCCCTAAGATCATCTGTATTTGAAAAACTACTGAGACACTTTTTAGATCTTGCACTCTGCATTGAGGTGCTACAGCTATGCTTAAGAAGTGCTTCTGTTGCCTGCTTAGTTCCATAGGTTGTATAGCCTCCTGGCAAACCTACACAGCTTCCTTGCTGGGGAAGGATGGATCAGTAAGAAAGAACGCTGTTGGAAAATGTTCTACATTTCAGGCATGTTTTACTTTTTATTCTTTTAACAAATGTCCCTCTGAGAATTTAAGGCTTTTTGAAAGTGATACATTAAGACTAAAATTTACTGCATAAGATACGTTCTTGGGCATGTCAACTTCTGATGTCTAATTGAAGTGACATCAGTTTCTGATGACTTCATAATAACTATCTTCAAACCAATGTTGATTTAATAGACTTTACTAAGTACTCATGCATGTAATTCTTTCTAACTCAGAAAAATGAATGTAATTTTTATAGCTTCTGGATGATACATTTTAAATAAATATTATTACAATGATGATTCTCTTTGCCTCAAATAAAATGGTCTATTTATGAGGATGAGGATTGGGTTTCCTTTGGAAAAAAGTGGAGAGTCTTCACTCAAAGTAAAGATGTACACAGAAATAGCTGGAACAGAAAAAGTTCCTAAACATAGAAGAATACATAAACTTGGTAGAAAAGTCAAGGAAAGAATTCAGAGTCATTGAAATCAATAGTGTTTAGAAGCAAGTATAGAATCTGGTATATAAAACTTAGAATCTGGAATGAAGTTAACAAGAATAAGTACAAGAGAGTCCAGCAAATTGGAAGGTGAAAAGAGAAGAGGTCTTGAGGAGCTACTTTTTAGAGCATCTTTTAACTTTTTCCCCCTATGATAGGAGTTGCAAATCTTTGTGCATCTAAGTTAGTTCCATAACCTGCTCATCAATAGGCTGATTCTTATCACTGGCCAAAATAAAGCTGTGACTCTAGGGAGTTATTGTATCTGGCGTCATCTGGCTTGGGTTACTTCTAGAGTGCAGTGACATCCTTATCCCCATGTGGACAAGAACTGACCACGTTGCCAATAAAACTAATGTCATGGGTAGAATCCAATGTTCTGAAGATTTATGTCTAAGCTGGGTCAGTGCCCTTAATAGTTTCCACTCTGCCTACTTCTGAAACTGCAGGGTACCTTTTAAAAATGTCTGCAGAATGTTTTTTATTCAGTGGAGTTCTCCTAAGTTCCACCTCTGCCCTTCCTCCCTAGGTCCTCCCTTGACTTATTTCCATGATTTTCATTATCCTGCTTTGTATTTAGTTATTCATTCAATAAACATTTATTGGGTCCCTAAAAAAAGCCAAGTATTGTGAGACATTGTTAAGGATGCTAGGTATACAATAGTGAAGAAATAGATTGTGACCTTCCATCATGATGTTTATAGTTTGAGGAGGGATGCAGGCAAAAGAAGAAGAAGGAGAAGGAGGAGGAGAAGGAGGAGGGGGAGGAGGAGGAGGAGGAGGAGGAGAAGGAGGAAGAGGAGGAGGAGGAGAAGAAGAAAAGGGAGGAGGAGGAAGAGATACTCTCTCTCTGCCCCTTCCCTACTTGCTCTCTTTCTCTCTCTCAAAATAAATAAATAAAAACTTAAAAAAATGCATCCCCCATTGCTATGGTATTCACTATCATCCTTACTCACTATCTATTCTAAATTCTCCCCAACCTCAGCTACCACCTCTGCAGATCTTGGTTTTTTAGTTTATGATGTAATCTTAGCCCTCATTTCTGATATACCCAAATCCGTGGTAATTACAACCATCTTAGGTCACGGCTGTGGTATGGTCATAGTTCTAACTGGGTAAGGGAGTGGGTCATCCTAAGTGAACCAAGTGAAACACCTAGGTTCCAACTATATTCTTCACTTCACTCATTGTGTGAAAAAAGCACTATATTCTCATGATGATCAAAATCAAATGTCCCTGCCACTAATGTTGGCTCTTCTTCTTGCCTGTTGGTCTTCGAATACAATAAGCCCAAAGTGCCTAGGGGAAACTATGATATGTAGTTCAGTGGGAACTGTGGTGTGTTCTTTGGCTAGAGTGTGCTCCTTTGGGAACCAGGGCTTTTAACCAAGAGTTGTGGGTATGGAAAGTTCCTCAGTGGATCATTAGGGATGATGATAATTGAGGTCATTCATGCTTCCATTCCTTATTGCCCTAACTTATGTGTTCTTCCTATTACAAACATAGCACAATATTGGAATTCTCTAATTTAGTGCAGCATTAAGGAATAAGGGAGAAGGAAAATCTTACTAGTGGGTAGAACAGAAAGTGGTGAATCTGATCATTTATGCTGTATGAAAGAGAAAGTGGTTGGTGCTAGTATATATGTAGATTCTGGGCAATGGCCAATGGTCTGAATGTCTGATCAGAGATACAGAAGAAAGAAATATGGTAGTGGCATATGAAAGTAGAAATAAAACATGAAGATTTTTTTGTATCACATCTTAATGTCTACTGGACAGCATGAACCACAGCAGATGCACTAAATAACCAAGAATACAACTCATCTCATTGATATTAGCCTGTCATCAGTAGCAGCAACACCAGAACTAACACAAGGGTAAATGATAGGAATAGCAATGGTAAAAGAAATGTAGGATATACATGAGTCCAACAGCATAGACTTCCACTTCCTTTGACTATTATAGCTGTTGTCATTTCTGAATGCCCAGCCTACCAACATTGTATTCCCAATATGACACCATTACTTAAGAGGATTAGTTGGTGGCCAGTTGACTACACTGGGTCTCTTCCATCCTGAGAGAGCTAGTGGTTAGTACTCATAGGGACAGATAACTCCTATAACTCCTATAAGTAACGTACAACAGCCATTTCTTAAATGTGGCAGGAATAAAGTCATCACCTGCTTTTGGCTTTAATCACATATGTGGCCAATTGGCATGTGAAGGTTGGGTTTTTCCCCTTCTTCATTAAGCTTGTCCATGGGACCCAGATGGCCTTACATATGAGCTGAGGGAGGGATGCTGTTGCAACTTTGGGATGTGACATGGGTGACTGGACTAACATGCCCTCTGGCCATGGTTGGACTTGATGCACATGCAACATTTCCATCTCACAGTGTGTGCATTCTGGGTCTACCCAATTTTATGAATATTTGGGACTGACAGAATTGGGGCAAAATGACTGGGCTTTTATACTCCTGCCTACCTTAGGCACCAGATATAGGTTGCTCTAGGAAAATTGTGACTGCAGAGGTGGCTTTCCTGCTGGTGATCCTGCTTTCCTGAGAAGAAAGGACATTCCAAACTGAGCTATTAGAATAGGTGTGGAAAGTTATAGGGTGTGGAAAACGATGGCATTTTTAGGTGATAATAAATGTTTATATGTTTTTAAGGCATAAAGTACAAGGAAGAAAGATGTTGAAGATGCCACAGAGGACTTGTGTATGCAAAGCTATATAATGATTGTGAACATGAAATAATGATTATGACTCTTTTATTGAGTGATTACTCTGTATTATTTATAATATTCTCATTTATTCCTGAGGTTGCCAAGATATTATTATTGACAACTTATATATCAAGAACAAGGTTCACAGAGAATAAGTTATTCCCAAGATCATATATTTAGTACATAGAAAATCCAGGATTTGAACTTCTTTTGTTTTTAAATCCTATTTTGTATCACAAAAACATTCATTAGTTGACTGAGAGCATGAGAATCACATGGTCAAACTTTCAATTAAGACAGATAATTCTATGGGAAAAAATATGGGAATGTTAGATATGTTAGAAATAAGAGGATTGGACAGAGGCCATAATGAAAGTCTAGGTGTGAGATATGATAAAGGCGTGGCCAAAGGCAATGAGAGTGGGGGTGGAGAGGAGGGGTTAGAATTGAAAACAAAACCAAAAACAAAGTAAAGTTATCAAGACATTGAGAATGACAGAAAGTAGAGGTTTCAGAGAGTGAGGAATGAAGACTGGCTTCATATTTCTATTTTAGGGGATATTGTGAATGGTGGTGCTATCAATAAAAGCTATAGTTTTGGATATAATTATTTGTGTATATGTGTGCTTCTTACATTGAAATGTGGTCAGAGACTACTAATTATTTCCGTGTTCCAGCCCTTACTGTAGCACCAGGCTCAATCTGTAAGTGTGGATAAGAATGTACTTTACTGATAATAATTTAATTACCACCATTATAACATGAAATTATTAGTTGAGTCAATATCTTCAAGGATAATGGCTAATTGAAGAATATAAAGAACGTTTATAATATGTCTTCATCACAATTTTCATTCTGTAGAAGTATAATTTCTCTTTATTGAGGATTCCTATATTTATCTTTTTTCTAGTATGTCTAGTTTTAAGATTTTTTTTAACATTTATTTTTATTTTTGAGAGAGAGATACAGAGTGTGAATGGGGGAGGGTCAGAGAGAGAAGGAGACACAGAATCCGAAGCAGTCTCCAGGCCTGTTGTCAACACAGAGCTGTCAGCACAGAGCGTGATGCGGGGCTCAAACTCACAGACTGTGAGATCATGACCTGAACTGAAGTTGGCCGCTTAACCGACGGAGCCACCCAGGTGCCCCCAGTTTTAAGATATTTTTAAAATAAAAGTTCACTTCACTTCTAGAAAACAATTATTTACATAGTTAGAACACAAATTACACTTGATTGATGAAAATTTTGGCTGAGAACCAGGCACTGGGTAAAGTTAATGTAGAAACAAGATTATGACACTTTTGGATGCTAGAGTCTTGATATAATAGGTCTTTCACTGACATAATGGCTCCTACACGTACATTTTAGTATCAGACACCTTCTAAGGAAAACAATCTTTAAGTAGATCTTTTAAAATTTCAGTAAATAAACCCTTAAGGTCCATCTATCATACAATAAATTCTGCCTTTATTTAGGATATTATTAGTTAAGTATCTAGGCTTAGAAAGTGGCTTAACTAGTACACGAACTAGGTGTGTGTAATTGTAACAAGAATTGAAAAATGTCCAGTAAACATTGTCCACTTGTTTTATCCAAACATCCTTGTGGAAAGAGCCTAAGCTGTGGAGTCCGATCCAATTTGAATCTAACTTTCAGTATATACTGTTCAGGTAACACTGTCAGTCACATAACTTCTCCAAGACTCAGTTCCTTATTTGTAAAATGAAGGTAATAAAACCTTTGCAGGATTGTTTCTAGCATTGTAGATAATGAAGGTAATGTATCTGGCATGTAATAGATACTCAGTAACAGGAACTGTTATTATGGTTGTTGTTATTAATTACTACCGGTAGTGCGAGTGTGACTTACAAGCTTTATGACCTGGTGACATGAGCCCTTTGAGCTCCTTCCATTTATTTCTCAGCCAGTGCTTGCCAAGGGACGTGAATTACATCTTAATTCTAGTTTAAGTACAGTTGCATGGTAAGTCCAGTGGGTCAGTCGTGGAAACATAACTGTGTTACCTCCAGACAATCTAAAAGTGAACCCCTGACTTGATCAGGAGTTTTCTTAAAAAACTGTGAGAAAATCCTTGAAGTTTAAATGTCTTTTGTGTTTTACTTGCTGAAATCGAATGGAAGATTTGCCATTTGGGAATTGCCTGCATCAGTGCTTCCTTCCATTAGCAAAGATAGGTGAAAGTTGACTGTAATTAGCTGTAATTAGCTACTGATCTTTTTGGACAACCAGAAAATCTGGTTTTTCCTCCAGACATTAAGAGGGCACTCAGAAAGGATACAACTTTTGTAGTAGATAATTTTGAAGCAGATGATATTGAATCCCTCAAAAGCAGCACTTTTAGCATTGTTAGTTCTGTATGTATTTTTAGCATTTTTATTAAGACGTGTCATTGTCTAATGGGGGAGAAAGAAAAAAAAAAAACAAAACACGTAGGAATTTTCCAAATGGCTGTATAGTACTGTGTATAAAACACTGAAGCTAATTGAATTGAATGGCTTTGAGCCCTTGGAAGTCACAAAGTGACAAGGTTTGCTTGACAGCTAGTGAGCGATTATTTCCCGTCCCACTGATTAATTTGGTCAATTAGTGGCAAATAGGAATGTCACAAGTGGAAAGGGTAATGAGAGTCATTATAAATGTAAAAGTAAAATTGAGGGCAACCTTGTCACAAAAGGGGTCTGCTTTGGGTAGCTTAGGCACTGATGGGACCAAGAGTTTATTCTCATTTATGTCTCTCTTTCTCTAGAGACTGAATCTTAATTTGACCAGAATGTCTAGGAAATCAAAATGGACCCATGGCAGCATTTTCTAATGTACATATAGAAAACTGTTTTTTTTTTTTTTTAGCAGCATTTAAAATATTCATCTCCTATTTGATCTTTTAATTATATTCTCAAGTTAAAATTTGCAGTCGTATTGTAGAACAACTCAGATAGATTTGAGTCTGAATACCCCAAATGCTGAGTATACCTATGACTTCTTAAGTGGGGAGTGCTAACTCACGCATTAGAACAAGACCACTTATTCTATTAGTTTTCTGTGGCTGCTGTAAAAAATTACTGCAAAATGGGTGGCCTAAATCAACAGAAGATTATTCTTTCTCAGTTCTAGGTGCCAGAAGTCTGAAATGTAGGTGTTGGCAGGGTTGGTTTCTGTTGGTTCACAAACTGGCCCCCTTACATAGAAGGCAAGGACAGACTGAAGAAAGAGGAAGACCACTTCAGATTGGTAGATGGCAGTTTTAATAAGCAGGGGAACTTACTTATGAGGCTTGTCTTGGGTGGCCGAAAGAGGAAATAGATCTCTACATCTGCCAACCAGAATCTTAAAAGTTTATATATAAGCCTTAATGAGGTTTAGTCACATATACTGTCCAGATGGTCTGAACAAAACCTTACTGTCTCAAGGCTATGTCTTTGGAACAGCTCCCACTGGAAGAATAGTAAACAGAGCACATATTCTGAGGACCGGGGAAGAGGTGAGAAACCTCTGATTGCCCAGGTCCAGTTCAGGCATCAACCAGTGGTCATGTTCTCTCTGTTAACCCCTTCAACAGTTCCTTCTGGAGGTTCTGAGGAAAAGTCTGTTGTGTGTGTCTCTCTTAGCTTCCAGCGGCTGCTGGAAATCTTTGGCCTTCCTTCACTTGTAGATGCAACATTCCAGTCTCTGTTTACATGTTCTTTTTGCGTGTCTTCTTTCCTTTTTTTCTAAAGTCAGTAGTCATTGGATTACTGTCCACCTTAATCTAGGATGATCTTATCTTAAGATCCTTAATTTACATCTGTAAGGACCCCTTTTTCAAAAAAGGTTACATTTACAGGTTCAGGTGGACATATCTTTTGGGGGACCGCCATTTAACCCACTACACTCATTTTTATAATGAACACCTTCCAGTCTGATTATGTCACAAGAATAAAACTGAAAGGTTCTGGGAGGTAAAGATGATGCTGTGTGTGTACAGACAAGAATTTGTGGTCTTTGCACTGTGACTTCAGCTCACGATGGCTGATGAGCCAGTAGTGCCTACCGTACCCAAGTCAGCCTGCTGACAATCATCTCTGCATCTGATGCATCTCTGCCTCTGTCTTCATCAGCTGTTACTACTTCATGCTTTCGAACTTAATATCTTACCTAAAGTGCCTTGCATTTAGTCCTAAATATGTCTGTCTTTTCCTTATTCCTAATCAAAGACTGCCTGATCAGGTGCTACTCTGTCACACAGATGTCTTCAGTTGAAGGAATGAAATAATAATCTTGGGAAAGGGGATTTTTTTTTCTTTGAATTCAACTTTTATATTCAATTTTCCCTGCTTTGCTTTACTTTGACTTTTGAGCATTTTTGGCTAGGGACATCTCTTTCATTTGTCTTGTCAGTGGCTTCCTGATACTACTCTATCATCTTTCCTTTAGACTGTATACTGTTGCCAGATACTTTCTTCCAAAACAACAAATCACAGTTTTGCATAAACTTTTTGGTGATCCCATAATTACCGTAAGATAAACTAAAAAAGTTTTCCCATGGAATAAAATCCAACTCTATCCTACCCCTTTGGCTATGTTTTCCCCCTGCAACTCTTACATCCATGATTTGAGAAGATGAACAATGAATGAGCTTCTACCCAGGCCCAAACACATCACTCTCTGTCAAGTTTTTGTGCCTTTGCACAGGCTTATCCCTATGTTTGAAATGTGTTCTATCTTTTCCTTTTGACTCCCTATTAATCCTTTAAGACCCATTGCATATGTCGTCCCTTCTCTGACACATTCTCACACTCCAGGGGGACAGAGGTAGTCTCTTCCCTCTCAGAACTATATTTATACCTATATTATATCAAATATAAAGCTGTATTAACAATTTATGGGTAGTTATTCACTCAAACACATGCTTGAGTGAACTCACTGTGTTCAGGAGCTATGCACTGTAATTTTCTGAATATGCTTACTTCCTTCACTAGTTATTAAGCCCCATGGGGAAAATGATGGACTTTGTATCCCTAGGGCCTCACACAGTGACTATGAGATCTAAATAAACACTTAGCAAATAGATGAATGAGCACATGCAAATGAAAGGAGAGATTTAATGTAGCTAAAGGATATTTTGGTCAATTCAGATACATTCTTAGGCTGTAGATATCCAGGTCAACTTTCTTAACTCATGATTGTTTACATTCCATCATATAACTTATTTAGTATTATGAAACAGAGTTAAGCCAATATCCTAAGAAAAATTATATATTCAAAGCATAACTAAATACTTAAGAATGAAAGGATCAAGTACTGGCTTTCTTCAGAAGTGATACCAACAATTTTACATTCAGACCATCTAGAAATTAATCTCTGTCTAAACATAAATTCCCTCTAATAAGCACTCTAATGAAAACAGTGTAGACTATGCCCTTTAGTGTTTCCTGGAGTGACTTGTCAATGTGACACATTATATACATTACATCAGTGTGCCTTATTGTCAACCTCTGATTTGTCTGCTCTGTCCTTGTTCACCTTCCCAGGCAAGAAAGCACTGTATACTGAAAGTGTATATTGAGGTGGAGGATGCTGTATTTGGCAATAAATGCAAGGACACTGAAGACATATGCTTCAGGTTGACATGTAATACCTAACTCAGGGTTTCATTATCATTAAAATAAAAAGGAAGAAAAAAGTGAGTAGAAAAGGGGATGATAATTCATAGCCTAGATAGTATATTGGGATTGCATATGTCCTGTTTTATATGACAAGGCCAGCCTTTGAATGCAACATCCTTCTCTGTAACATACATTGACTTTGACACTACACCTTGATGAATGCATAGCCAGTGCATTGTTTGTCTCCCCTATACTTTGTTGGAACAAATAGTAAGTTGTCCATTTTTATGTTTCACACTTTATTAAGTGTATCTCTGCTGGTGTCTATCTGCACAGCAAATTAACCAAAGTAAATAAGAAAGGAATAGGTCTTTATTCATGCAAAGCAATATTATAATCACAGAAACACAAAACACGTGCTCCTCATTGCCCTTATCAAATGGCTAACAGAGTTTTAAAATATGGCTTGACTTGTGTGTCATTCTCAATGTCCTTCAGTTATATACCTGAAACTATTTACTACCTAAACTATGGTATGTATTCAGGTGGCCAAAGTTATTTTACATGTAATGTTCAGTTTTGAGAGTTTTTTAAACATTTACTCTTAATGAATGGAAATTTTTTGTGTGTTAAAAAGATGTATACAAAAGGCAAGATGATGCAAATAAAAGCAAAGGGATTAAGACTTAACAGATGTTTATACACTAGATTTATGACATTGGGCAATTTCCTTAACCTCTTTTTGCCTCAGTTTCCTCATCTGTAAAATGACAAGGTTGAATAACATCCTAAAATCATACCCTTATATAGCATTTATTCTATTCCTGGCACTGTTCTAAGTGCTTTTTATATAATTCACTGAATACTCACAGTGATCTTATGGAGTGTGATCTATTATCAATTCCATTTTTTTTATAGATGGAGAAAGACAAGCAGTGGAAAGAGGCAACTTACCCAGTCACATAGCTAGTTAGTGACAGAGCTGAAATTTTCAATGGGGTATTCTGGCGTTAGGATCCATGATCTAATTGTTATCCTATACTTCTTTGAGTACTTTAGTGACTATATTTTTACTGTTATATAGCAAGGGGAAATGTTATCTAGAAACTAGTACCTAATTTTGTATAAAATTTGTTTTATTGCCCAGAATCAGTGGGAGGTATAATATTCATACACCAAGCCAGTATGAATCTGTTTTTAAAAGTCTTTTATAAAGTAGTTTCTTGAAACTGCAATGATGAATCAGTGAAGAGGAGAGGACAAAAATAGGACAATTGAGCTGAACATTCCCATCCTTAATTCACCTTAGAAAGAATTTCCATTTCTTAATGGTTTGAGAC